CTGCTATCAACAATGAGAAATTCCCATACTTTATAGTCGGCTATAAAAGGCTCTGACATGAAAATATAAAAAAAATTAATTGAGAAAACTAACGGCTTAATTTATAACAAAATAATTAACGAAAAACATTTATGACAAACATGAACCAACGACAACCACTGAACTACAAGCTCCTGACTTTGGACAGGCACATATAGGATTCTTTATATTCTGGTGAAAGATAAATAATATTACTAATTTCGATAAATAATTTCAAATAGAGTAAATAACATCGTCTATTTGATTATATTCCTCTTAAAGTCCGCGTATTTATAGGCCGAGTTTGTTTAAGGCCGAGTTTGTTTAAGGCCGAGTTATTCAATAGCGAAAGTTGACACCGACTTTTACAGGTAAAATGCAAGGGGTCGTCTCAAATGTGAATTGTACGGCGCACTTGATTCATAAGGTATTTTTGAGCAAATAAAACCAGTCTCCATGAACGGAGCGTACTATCGCTCCACCGGTAAAAAGCTGCAATATTCCAATAACAGCAAATTTGAATCGGATGTATCGTCAAGTTCATTCACATAATACACATAATATTTGAATGAATTTTTTTTCTACATAATGATGTAGTGCACAAATAAAAAAAATCCGGTTTTCTGATAAAAATATTTTCCTGTTCCACAGGTACGAAAATAAAGGGACGTTTACTTAACCAGGGGGTGGGAGAAGCGAGAAAAGATTATCAGTACTGATAAAAATTACTTGTACCAACCAATTAGAGTCCGTTGCGGCCATTCTGGCAACCCATGACAATTTTTATCCAGTTTGGTTCGAATAGGCCAACAATTGTTTGATGAAAGTTTGTCACCAATCACAGGCCATGGTGGCCAAGTTTTTAAATTTGTCGGAATAATCAGTCGCAGTTTTTGCGGAGGATCGATCCATAAACATTTCTTCTGTCTAGTTTTAAACCTACATTTTGTAGATTTTGACCGCTCAAAATCTGTGATGGCCATTTTGAAAATTGGATAGGGCTGTTAGACATAATTTTGGTAGTAAACCATGTAAAGAGCATTTATATATGGATCATTTAAAAAAAATGTCGAAATTGCGAAATTGAATAAAAGTTACTAGTTTAAACCATCCTCTTTATGTTGTCTATCCTGTTACTTAAACTATAGTAACATGATATGCAGTAGCACTAGAGACAAATTTCTCTATTTATGAACGCTGTTGTGAAGTAACTACTCCCTTTTTTGCAGTGATAATGTTTTTCGTCTTTGGTCTTGGTTTCCAACACGTTATTGCACATTTTACAAGTTGAATATTGTTGTAATTTATAGATTTGTTGGTAACAGCATAGAAATGACAGAAGGATACGCACTTATTTTGTTTTTTAATTTAGTGCCGTGTACAATTTTTAGAATGCTTTGTGCTTTTTATATCATCACTGAATAGTCCCATATTTAAGAGGAGAAATAATTTAACTGTTGATCAAGTATCAGTAACAGTATAGGCATGTAATTTATGTATGCCGATTGAAATTAGTTATCAAAAAATGTTTCATAGAATAATAAAGAAACTGTGATTTGTTCGTTAGTTAAATTAAAAAAGTTTATTATGCAGATTTCAAGGCAATCAGAAAACAAGGAAAACAAAATCAAAATTTGCTATCCTGACACTGTACGCACATAAATTACGCAAAATTCTGACTTAAAATATTTTAATCTCATAAAAATATAGCTTAATCGTGTTTATTATTGATTTAAAGAATCATAAATGCTACAATCTTTCATTCAAACACTTACAAATGCATTTTACATAAGCCATAAACCAATTTAGCATATATGTACTGAAAATTCGACAGTTTTTTCTAAAAAGACCCATTTACCAATTTTGGTTAAAACACTTTTTTAAACCTAAAAACAACCGGTCAACGACGAATGCCAAGTGGTCATGGCAATAGTTCACATTTACCTTTGTCCCAAGTGAGCTAACAAGAGGGGGGGAGGGGGTTGTGAAATTTTATAAGACAGTTAATTGTTTCATTCTAATAGTTATTTACGATTTTTACCTTTATACATTTTTTTTATTTTGAGACGATCCCCTTCATTTTTATTGTCAGAGTAAGAGTAAACAGTCGGTACCGAGACTTTCCGTAAATCTCTATTATTATGTCTCTTAATGGAGAACTATTGTTTTACTGTAAATTCTTCTCGTTGTTGTTATTGGCTTTCTTACTCTTCTCATATACAAGCTTGTCTTATTGCTATAGTCTGGGGATTTCAGTTATTTTTGCTAACAAAACTATTTCCATATCTCATGCATTTAAGGATCCTCGTCAGATTCTGAAGTTCAGTAAAGTTTCATATCTGAATATTAATCATTATTTGGAAAGTTTACTGTTTACAGTAAATCTTGATTATTTCTGTTAATTAAAGACGTGATGCTCCTTTCTCCTGTATATTTTTCACTCACGGGGTAAAAATCGGAAAATTGTCGAAGCGTATTGAATTTATATATATTGCATAGTCCTAATTATATACTTAAAACAGATTTTCATTCATAAAATAGTTATTTTGCACTAAAAATTGCTGTTCCATGCCATTTTGAAACAGTATTGCAAATCATATTTGTTTTAGTAAAATTTTATTTCGAATGACATCGCTGACCAACATAGATTAATTTATTTCCAAAATACAATACATATTTTCCTTCTGACAGATTTGTGGCTCTTCTGGAAAAGTACTGGGTCATGATATATTTAAATTACAGTCCCGAGTAATCTGAAGATGTTCATTTGGGGTTAAATTTTCAGAAATGCACAATAATATATGTTTTTAAATATTTAAAGTATAAACACATTAAGCTATGATGATACTGATCATTGAAATAAGATTAAAATATATCAAAAATTCCCCTGGCGTGGAATAATTCGGGATAAATTGGTCCTACTTTTTAATTTCCTTATTTCAATTTAGAGTTTTATATACTGTATAGATAGCTGTATATTGTTGCCGACCATATAACTCCAGTGTTGTACTGTTATCTTTTTCGTTGGGTTGCTGTCTCATTGACGTATATCCACATCTCCTCTTTTGATATGAATATGAAATGAATAAAACATACATGTAGTAAGTAGATTGAGTGGATCAACGCGTTTCTTGTACAGAAAATATAACTGTTCACAGAATCTGCTGTCGGTGGTTGACCTGTTGTCATTTTTCCGTGTTCGTTTTTTTTATATTTTGTTTTAGTTCATTCTTGGCGGCGGGATGTTTTATCCTTTTATTGTTCTTTTACATAAATCATCATGATATGTATGAAATATTAAAAAAAAAAATATTTGTATTTGAACAGCATTATACATGTTATACGAAAACTAAACGATCACTTCAGAGAAAATAACAAAAAAATCAAAATTATATTAGACATCGAAAAGAGGAGACTCCGAGTAATCAATTTGGTGTACAGTCATGACAACACATTGAACATCAATTATATATAGAGAGTTGATATATTAGACCTTGATTTTACTCGGAATGAACTACCCCTTAATGGATAAATTAATGTGTGTCAAATTTGCACACAACAACAGATGTTATTTTTTCACTGATAAAGTTTTTAATCGAACTGCCTAAACAACATGACTTCAATAACTTTCATTTTGTTTGCGGGGCATTATTATTAATTATGACCGGGTCGACAATTTCCGATAAAATTTACGAAGTTTACCGAATTTTAACCACCACCATCACTTTCATCAATCATCAGCAACAATCATCACCATCAATCATCATCATCATTATCACTGATCATCACCTTCATCAACAAAAGGCGTATAATGTTGTGACCACTGCATATAATGTTCCGACAGTTGCATATAATGTAATCACGACTGCATAAAATGTTGTGACCACTGCATATAATGTTCCGACAACTGCATATAATGTTGTGACCACTGCATATAATGTTGTGACCACTGCATATAATGTTCCGACAACATCATATAATGTTGTGACCACTGCATATAATGTTGTGACCACTATATATAATGGTGTCACCACTGCATATAATATAATGCTGTCACTACTGCATATACTGATGTGACCACTGCATATAATGATGATCATCAACATAAGTCAGTCATGGCGTTCCATATAAATGCTCTGTATACTTTAACGGTCGGGCTAGTTTTCAGTAGTTACATCCTCTATTAATGCGATATAGTAAATACAATATATATCAGTTTTGTACTATCTTCTTTGCAGTAAATTTTCTTGTGTATTTTTTATATTGTTAATCTATTTAATACTTAAATTTATTACTTGTAGTTCTTATTACAGATAACAATTGAATAATTTGGCAGTCTTTGTTTACTATATCACCTCATATCATTTCATAAGTCAGTCGGTCTATTTTGTCTACATCTACAAAGCGTTTCAATGCTGCTGTTGTTTAAATGAAAAAGTGCTACGTTGAAATAAAAAAGCTACCTTGACATATTTCAATGCCCATGGGTTTGCAACTCAAATTGAATGCATTGTCTAAATTCAAATGACATATAAAATGCCGTTTTTCTTCTTATTTTTATGTTATATCAGATATGAAAAACAAAAACACTTTCGTTTTTCATTTTTGTTTTTGAGATTTAAAAAACGAAAAACGAAAATACCTTCTTTTTTTTCCTTTTTTGATTTCTAAAAACAAAAAAACAAATGGACGCAAATATTCACGGACGTGTTTAGAATGTATTTTTAAATGTTCAGCAGAATTTAGAAATGCTCAAGACACAATATTTCCAGGATTATCCCAAACATTTTCAGAATTTTATATGATGTCGTACGTCGTGCTATGCTTAATAATAAATCACTTAACAAGTGTTTTGATTTACATTGTTCTTCTTGTTTAGTATATGATTTCTAAATATGGTGCAGTATTAAAAAATACTCAAGATACAATATTTCCAAGATTATCGCATAATATTTACAGACTGTTGTATGTTGTCATTATAGGGAGGTAAAACAGCATTACACTTGGCAGCTGAGAATAGATATTATGAGTTGAAGATAACACAATGGCTTGTTAACGAAAAAGGAATGGATCCCATGGATAAGACATTGCAGGTAACATTTTCCATTAGAAACGTAGTGCCATCCTTAATAGTGAATCACTTAAAAAGTGTTTTGAATTGCACTGTTCTTTAATTTTGATGTATTAAATGATTTTTTAAATGTGGTGTTGTATTCATTAATACTCAAAACACAATATTTTTCAGATTATCACATAACATTTACAGACTTTTATATGTTGTCATTAAAGGAAGGTAAAACAGCATTACATTTGGCAGCTGAGAATGGAAATTTGGAGTTGACACAATGGCTGATTAAAGAAAAAGGAATGAATCCCATGGTTAAAACATCTAAGGTAACATTCGATATTATATATTTACATTGTACTAAGTACTGTGTTTAATAGTGAACCACTTACATAGGTGTTTTAAATAACATTGTATTTATTGATTTGTTAGAATTGTTCTTTTTGGTCTGCAGAATTTAGAAATAATAAATAAATGATAGGTACTAATAGTAGACTGTACATACATGTTGTACATGTTCATTTCCTTACTTAATTGCTCAAGAAAAAAGTATTTACTCCCAAATAATTAAAAACTTTCAATTTGTCTTGATAAAGAAAATTTATTATCCGATATGGAATTCTGTTTTTTGGTACATGTACCATGATTCAAAAGAAAATAGTGTGACTTTCCTTAAGATGAAAGCACAAGTGTGCTAATGGAAACATAATTTGACCATCACATTAAATTAAGTGGTGTCTCTAAGTATTAGATGTATTGTGTATTTTTTCTTATTTGACTGTATATTATACTATATTATAATATTTCTGGGATTCACTAAGTTTTGTTTTATCAATAAATGAGAGGCGGAATATTCAAAAAATATATGTCGTGCAAATGTTGGTTTTAAGAGTTTTATACGGTTAATACATCAAATAGAACATTATTTTTGTCTGTACAGGAAACTAGCATTTTTTCTGAAGTTTAGAACAGTTTTAATCAGATCTAAGATCATTTTAGAAACCATAGCACCTTGTTTTTTTCCAACATTTATTAATATTCAGTCAATTTCATACATTGATATTAGGTAATACGTTGTGAGAGTATGAATGCACCAATACGTCCTTCTGTCTATTTGTCTGTATGAATGTATAAATACACCACCACATCGATTTATTTGTTGGGGATGTATAAATACACCATCATTATTCGACGTCTGTTTGTCTGCAGGAAATTTAAAAACACGATGCCACGTCATTTTTGCATAGGGATGAAAAAGGACAATACCATGTACGTGTGTCTGTAGGGGATGTATAAATACACTACCACGTCCGTTTGTCCATAAGGTATGAATAAATACACTACCACGTCTGTTTGTATGGGATGTTTAAATGCACTTCCATGTCTATTTGTATGTTAAGATGTACTATTACACTAAATAAAGGGGAGTATACTAGAAAAGCGGAGGTTCTGTACTGTAAATCTTATTCAATCCACTAACAATAACAATAACATAACGATACTTAATTGTAAGTTAATAACACAGTTAGTAAATGAGTCATGCAACCATTGTTCCCTCAGGCCCAATTATAGAAAAGCAGAAGCATTGTTGAAAAACCAAAACTAGCAAACATGTTAATGCCATACATAGATGCAGTGTATAATAGTCATAAGTATACTATTCAATTGCATGGCGGAAAATGAATGAAAGAAAGGAAAATCTATATATTAAACATAATGATCAACTGATTAATTTCAATAACTGTTGTTTTTGCCATATGAGAAACAAAAAAAGAAACATCATCAACTGTCCGGTCTTGTCAACGCCCTCACCATACAATTCTAGCTAGATTTGTATGACATTTATATTAAAGAATTATAAAATGTATATCAACATTGTATTGGACGAGTTTTAAAACCAATGGCGATCAACTATTTCAATATGATTTATATAAAATAAGAAAATGTAGTATGACTGCCATTTAGACAACTCGTAATAAGATATCAAATAAAATGGAAGTAAGCACGTACAGCCTTCCAAAATGAGAGTAACTTATTCTGCATAGCAAACTTTCAAAGGCCACGACGTGACATATTAAAAAAAAAACTCAAAAGAAAAAAAAAACTTTCATGTACAAAACAATATGGTTGATGATTGTTGGTTGCTTCACGTCCAGTGGGAAATAGTTCATGCATGTTCAAGACAAAAAAAAAATTAACAAAACAATACAATAGGTAGGTCCTGTAACGGAGGCCGTCCGGAATGATAGGCTTCCACTGGAAAAGGAGGGTATATTGGATAGGGACAGATAATTTGCCTTGCAACAGGCCACCTACGAATCCCTCAAAGAGATGGTGCAAGGGTTCTTAACCTGAAGAGATCGTAGCACTCTTTCTACACAAAAGTCAAAGATCTAATTACAGTTTAAAGTTTCAAATGTTACTGATGCGTTATTTGATAGAAGTTAAGGAACTAGTTAAACGTACTGAAACATAAGTTGAAGAGCACTTACTGGATGCCGAAATGATTGGATAATCATATTTAACGGGTTTTTTTGTGTGTAGTTTACGTAACCAATACATAGAAAGGACCTTCAAATGTTTAGAATGGCATAAAACTGAGATGTGGGAATGATGTAATTGTTTACTCTTATTCTCTATAGAGCGCACTAACCTAAATGCAAAAACAAATATAATTTCTTTCGTGAGAACGTCCGTGAAGTATTAACGCCATACCACCATAACATTTCTGGCTTCGTTGTCCGTCGATACGACAACAAACCACTTTGCGACTACTCAACGTTTGTTTCTTATCATAGAAATAGGCGTATTATGTCCGTTTATATTTACATCCATTCATTTTTCGTTTTTAGAAATCAAAACCGAAGATACAAAAAAAAAACAAACAAAAAAACGAAAGTGTTTTATTTTTGTTTTTGATATCTTAAAAAAAAAAACGGAAGTGTTTTCGTTTTCTATATTGATTAAACAATAACGAAAAACGGCTATTGGATTCAATTTCTTTATTAAGTTTGACTATTTGTTATTTAATAACAGAACTGCTTCTTACTAGTGTTTTATATTCTGACTATTTGTCAAGTATAACATGTATAAACAGAACTGTTACTTAACAGTGTTTTCATTTGAAATATCAAATGTATTAAAACTGTATAATACCAGGAAGATGGTAATATTATGTATGTTTGATGACTATATCGAATTAACAAGTTACTGATAAGAAAACTAGTATAGCCCTTTACAGAAACTCATTTCTGGAACCATGAATTTTAATAATTTGAAGTTGGTTATCTCCCTTTTTCCGAAGTAGAACTGCTTCGCTGCAATGAAGTTCAATGAAGAGACAACGATCAGGGGTTTTAGTTCCTTTAGATTTAAAGACAATCTTTGATGTATACAAATATTAAAATTAATTATGTTATTTTGTCTTCAAACATACTTGTAATCCAACCGGGTAATATTTGTAACTTTAAGTAACAAATTATTTTATTTTTTATTTTCACCGTTGCTCACCACTACAGCAAACCAGCATTTGTACCTTGTATACTTATCAACAAGGGAAATAATTATTATTTAATTGTAATTGTAAAATACCATTTAAGCTTTTGGGAGTGAGTTTCTAGAAATACCATACAGAACGCAGATTAGTTATGTTAGATTGGGATATAAAGTAGATATTACTTAGAATTTAGAATTGTACTTATTTTTTTAAATTTGTGGTTCGGTATCTATCCATGAATTAAATATGTTTACAATACCTATTAAACGAGTGCACCCAGTTGAAAGGTTATAATTAAACTGTTACTGTTATGTTGACATAATAACCTGTACATTATCTCGTGTTACAGTTGACCAGTTTAGTCTTGTGCACATGATTTATTATTCCAAAACAGATGTATTGTAAACACATCATTAAATTCATGGATATTTATTGAAACACAGAAACCGAAAAAGAAGTGAGTACAATTTCAAATTGTAAGGGGGCGACCATTCCTGGTTCATTTAAAATAAGGGAGGGGGTGGCTATGCAAGAGGCTTTTGAAATCAGCATGAATAAAATTGCAAATAAACGTTTATGCAGAATAGTCTCAAATATGCATCCTCAAATAACAAAAAACAAATGTTGAGTAAGACCAAATTCATTGAAATTACCTGCTTAATTTGTAGTAAAACAATATAGATCCCGTAACGTTTGTTATACCTGAACACATTTTCCACAAAAGCTACTCTGACTACAATCAACGTAAATTTTGCACACAAGACCGGATTAATATGCTTTTTGATATTTTCACGAGTTATTGTTTGTTAGAATGATATTTAAATGTTCACGAAAATCTGATCGTTGGAGTTTTCGATGGGAATTCAAATTTGTTCCGTGCCAAAAATTATTCAGCCCAGAGGACTAAAATGATTTTTCATGAAGGTCCGGGGTTCTTATTACTTGTAATTGCGTGAAGTCTTTGTTGTCCACAGCCAGTGATACGATAATATTTAATTGCCATGTGTCCATGTCCACGCTGTTATGAAATTCATTCTATTTTGTAAATAAATTCCTATTGCAGCCAACATTTCCCGGTTTCGGACAGGTTTATATAAATTTCCTCTGAAATACCGTCTAAATATTGGCCGGAGATATTAAATGAACCAAAAGCACTTTGATTCTCTGAAATTGTAAATTATGGTATTTCGCTGGCTGATTTTTCCCGATCCTATTTTGGACCCCCTGATTGTAACAGGGCGTGTCTAATTAGTCTTGCCCGATTAACTTCTAGTAAATTAAACTCAACTTGAAGACCTACACTGGGTTAATAAGTTCGAGGTACAATAAGTAAACAAAAGAGATCCTTTATAAAATGAGATCGTCCCAGGTATCTTAGATAATTATTTTGCGTTGAATAAATAACAATGAAAATTGCACGAACAGGTTTGTAATCTGATGTTATCAAGATAAGCTGCTGACTTCTATATTCCCACACTACCTGAACATGTGTTAGAATTATTCGGTAATACGGAAGAATACAAATGATATATTTTTGAAGCAGCATTTGATTTGTGAATCTTAAGAAATCACAATGAAGTATACAACGTATCCTATCTTACAAAAGTGATGGATTGATAAATTATACAATAAAATAAAAATTATATAAGAAGACTGATTGAATGATATTGAATTTACCTTCCTTTTCTCTCTCTCTCTCTCTCTCTCATTTAAAAAGATGAAGTATGGCAGACAAAAGTTTCGAAAAGGATACTCATATAATCTATTTAAAATAATCTATTTGGAATTATCGTCTAAGTTCAAGTTATTTATTCATTTCGTTACTTTTAAAAT